GCATTCGGATCAAGGCTGTAACTTTGAATCATCTGTGTTCCATGAATGTTGCATATTGTTTGGCATACGAAAGACCAGAACAATGCCACTTCACCCACAGTCTGATGGGATGGTAGAAAAGTACAACTGGACACTTGGACAGGAATTGTCAAAGTTTTGTAATAGCCGCCAAGATGACTGGGATGTCTTCCTCCCTCCACAGATAAATGTTAGATAAAGATTTTGCATATAATTGAGTTCATTATGAAATTTTAATGAGATATTATCTTTGTTACATTTTTCTTTTGTGTTTTTAAGTAACAAATTTGCATCTAAACATTCCATATTACCTTAAACTTAGCTTGCTTTTCAGTTATTCTACCTAGTCAGTTTATAGTTGCTATGAAAATTTTATAAATGAATGAGGTATTTATATTTTTTCGTAAGTTGTGACATCTTGAAGTGTTCGTTTGCTTGGTCAAAGAATTTTGTAATCTGTATATGTATGAAGATTAAATATATTAAAGGTTAATAAATTTTACCCTCTAAATTGCCTAAATAAAAATTCCTCAACGATTATATTTTTTATGAGTATGTTCATAAAAGCATACAGATAGCATTATAAAAATCAGTAAAAAAATATTTGTTATACATTCCTATTCTATTCTGTAACTATCTTTTCTCTAACTTATGAGCAGAATATGTTCTATCCAACTATGGAAGAAGATTTTAGAATAGAAGCTCAAGCATTATTTAAAGAAACCACATGGTATGGTAAGTAAAGCAATCATGTCATCATGTAGTACATAACTTTTGTAATTGTATATGGAAAAAACAAATTATAGAAGAGTGTTTCAGCCATCTTGAAATTACGAAACTATTTTCTGTCATTGCATTATTTTAAGGTACAAGTAAGTCTAAAATATGATTCCTCAACTTAGGAAACTTATTAATGCTTCTCATCCTTCTGCATTTGATATTTATGGAACCATTAGTGACCTAAGAAAGTGTTTTAAAAGAAAAAAAAAGGTTGAATAATGTACAAATATAATCTTAAATAAATGCATTCTTTATCTTTATGTCCAGGATTTTAACATTATAATGAGTGTAATTCCACTACCAATATCTGGTATTAGACAATGCAAGTTTCTTTCTATGTTTCTATTTAGCAAAACTAAAGATCAATTTATTACCTCAAGGCTCTGTAGTATTTTTTATTTAAACATCTGTGGTGTATATATTAATAACTTATTTGTTAGTTTTCCTAGAAAGAAACCTCTGTAATATCACCGAACCATTTATAGACTGACAAGTTAGTTTTTGCATAAAACAGTGTTTTAAGATCATATATAAGAACAGAAGATACAGAAAAAACATTTTGCATTTGTACATATCTTAAGATTATTTTAAAATGCAAATCAGTAATATATTAAATAATAATATATTTATATATATATATAGTAATATGTTAAAAACATTGCATGGTACCCCACCCACTCCCATGAACAAACCATGTTAAAATGTCAAATTAGCACTTTCTATAGTTAGTAAGCAATCTCCACATTTGATAGGCTTTGTAAGAGATACCTATTTAAATAACATGCTTTTGAGGAAATATTTCTTTACGGTTATAAGAATTTTGAGTAAGATCTTTCAGTTTATAGTTTTCTCTAGGGACATAATTCTTCTGAAGTTTTTTTCTTTTAAATTTGGATTTCTTAGTGATTTCCTATTATGTATCTTAGAAGTGTTCAGATTTTAATATTTTACTTTGTATTTTCATGCAAAAAGTGTTGGATATTTTGTATCTTGTAAACATGGATTTGTAAATTATATTTTAATATCAGTTGCCAAGAAAAGATAATGAGTAGAAAGACATGCAAGTTTTACACTGTGTAATAGTTTTTAAAAGATTGAGCTGGAAACTTTTATCATATTGGTAATTTATAAATGGCTCAAATTTAGATATTAAATTCAGTGCTGTAGCCTTGAATGTTTCTTTGTCAACAGTAATAACTGAAAATCAACAATGTTAAATGTAGAAAAAGTCATAAAACTAATTTTGTTTAAAGTTCACCACTGCAACTAAAGGAAGCTCAGTTGGATAAGATTACATTATGATTAGTAAGTAAAGTGTACTAAAGATCCACCAATCAGTTGTGATAGGCATAAATAAATAAAATTAGTTTTATATCTTCCAAAGCTACTTTGGAGATGTATAACTTTCTGGTGGTGATAATAGTAAAATGAAATAAAGATTTCTCTACATTATAGGTGGAAGCTTAAAACAAAACTGCATTGTCTTTTAAGTGTGAAAGTAACTGACATTATAAATTCATGAAACATTTCTAATTTTGATAAATGTTGTAATAATGCCTTACATTTTTGTTTTAATGTCTTATAAAGTAATTAAATTGCTTATTATATATGAAATCAACATAAAAATTGGCCTTATATATGCATATCTGTCTCTCTCTTCATGCTTCCATTTTGCTATCTTTTTTCCAGTTGTGAGTTTATAAGTAACAGTCTGGTGGTGACATTGATTTTACAGTAATCAAAATAGCATTTGTTTGATTTTGTATTTTTCAGAATGTGTTAATGGTCATCCATACACTGTTGCAAATGTAAGTGTTATTTCACCACTCTTCTCTTGAAATAAATTCTTTTATGTGAAACAGTAGCATTTTGAAGGATGGAATATCTCTGTATTTTTAAATGTTATTGCTCATTCAAAATTACCTCTTCATTAATCTTAATTATTTGCAGTAACACATTAGGATGGTATTTTTAAGTTTAACCAATATAGAAAATACATAATAAAACAGTTAAAACAACTATGTTATTTACTTGCATAAGAAAGAAATTTTTGTTTGTATATTGTAGTATTTAATATAACATATCGTCAAAAATTGTATGGAAAACTTTAAATTAATCAGTATGAAAATGTACTAGTTCACATCAGAGGAATATTTGACTGTACTTATTTCAAACAGTTGAAAAGACTTTAAAAACTTTAAAAGATTATATTCAAATAATCGTAAAATATAAATCAGAGGCTCTTTTTAATAACTCAAAGGAGCACACTATGAAGTTTGTTGTTTACACTGCAATCAAAAACAAATTTATTATTTAAAAATGATTTATATTTATAAAAATAGAATAATTTCCAAAACTTGCAAGAAAATATAAATGCCTATTCCCTTTTAGAATATAAAAAAAATAGGAAATATAGTTTGAGCACATGATTATGTTATTGAGATAATTGTTTGATTGATTACTGTTATAGTGTGGAGCACCAATGATAAAATCAAAATGTTCAGAATGTGGATCTGATATAGGTGGAACTAATCATAATTCTGTGCAAGGTGTAACAGAAATGAAAATGTAAGTGTGACAAAATACTTTCCTTAATAAATATTGCTTGATGTTTACCCATTTCAGAATTAGCTATTTTTACATAATGTCAAACAGCTGTTCAGAAAAGGGCAATATTTAAATAATTTTATGTGTCAACTTTAATTTTGCATTTTGATGTGCATTAGTTTACATTATGTCATTAATACCGATCTTGATATAAACAATATTATGCATGTCTACTGAGTGTGAAATTTGGTGAAAAAACAGTGACAAACAAGACATACATAAATTTCTTGAATACTTTTAATTCATGAAAAATTTCATTTGAACCAGTTTTAAAAGAAACTACAATTTAAATTTGATTTAAAGATTCCTCTGATATGATATTATTACCACCAACAAATTGGGTTGAATTTGAATAAAATAAGAAAAACCACAAAGATGAATACTGAAAAAGAAAAATCTTTACCAGGTTAAGAGGAAATGCTGCTTACTTTAAATGAAACCATAAGTTAAAAAGTTATTGATTTCAAGTATTTATGAAATAAGTAAAATAATATTAAATATCTTTGAAACTTGTAAATGCATCAAAGTTAAAGAAAGACAGAAAGTATGTCTTAACAACTTAAGAAAGACAAACTATGAAATATATTTGCTACTTTTTTCTGCAAAAACAAAAATTATGATATATGGATCTTCAATTTCTCTCCTCTGAAGCTGCCATGAAAGGACAGACACTGTGTCTGTAAACTAAAAAAAAAAAAAAATTCCATATAAATAATAGCATATTTATTTCTATAAGCCTTCAGCTTCACTCCTGTAACTTTTACAGTCAAGATATTACATTTGTTAGATTAAACACTTTGGTGAAAGGAATACAATAAATGTGATCATTAGTTAGTCATCATAAGCTGTGATATAACCGTGCGTATTCTCATCATATCCTTGCATCACATTGAAAACACATTCAGTATTTCCTACCAGTAGTATAATTACCTAAATTTTGTTGTTTGACTATTAATACAAGTGACCTTGAGTCTACATGTAATATGTACTTAGGGAAATGCCTGCAGAAGCAGTGTATACCACAGAGAAAAGGATATTAAACTTAAATTTGCAGAAGATATTAAGATCTTGGGTGTTGCTAACTATGAAGAGGATGCTGCTGATTTACAAAAGGATTTAGATCATTTAGTGAGTTGGGCAAATAAATGGCAAATGGGTTTTAATTATAATAAATACAAGATAATGCATGTGAATTATCGTGATTTGAATCATAGATATAATTTGGATGTTATGGTTCAGTCTGTTAAGCCACCAAGCAGTGTGGAGTTGCTAGTGGTAGGGCAAATAGGATTTTAGGTTGTATTTACAGAAACATTGAATACAAGTTTAAAGAGGTTATAATTTTATTGTACAGGTCACTGGTTAGGCCACATTTGGAATATTGTGTTCAGTCTTTTGGCTCCTTACCTTCAGAAAGACATTGAATTGTTGGCAAGAGTTCAGAGAAGGGTTACTAGAATGGTGCGCGGGATGGAGGGTTTGTCATATGAGGAGAGGCTGAAATCTCTCAAATTGTTTTTTCTTGAAAAAAGAAGGGTTAGGAGGGATCTGATTAAGGTGTTTAAGATTGTAAAGGGAATTGATAGTGTTGATGTATCATATTTTTTTATATTTAACAATGAGAATAGTAGGACTAGGGGACACAAATATAAATTTTGGCAAGGTAGGAGTCATCTTCAGCTAAGACAGTTTTATTTTTCTAACAAGGTGGTTGGCCTTTGGAATGGGTTGCCTTCAGATGTTGTAGAGGCAGTAAATTTAAGTGAGTTTAAGAAAAAGCTTGATAAGTATATGAATGAAAAGAGTTGGGTTTACAATTTTATTATTATTATTTCTTACTCATTTTAATTCAGTTTAGAGGATGGAACAGCTGAGATGTACCAATAGGTCCCATGTTGTCCCAAAACATTGTTATGTTAAGTGCCCTCAATCATGTTGTGGTTCATATGTCCCATCCTGAGAAGATTCTACCCACAGAGTGGTCTTTTGGCCCCCAGGTATTCTAATTGCTATGTTCTCAGTTGGATACTCCCCAAACTTTATGCATTTGCCACTCAATCAAATACCAAACATCCTCTTTTGGACCCAGTTCCATGTTATTTGGATTTGTTTAGCCAGGATTGAAAGGACCTTTTCCTTTATACATACCCTTTCATTGTTTTCTACCTAAGTAATTTCTCTCATCCGATTCATTCCATGTTGAGTCCTTCATATGGCCCCTTTCTGGCTGGCTCAACCACCGTTACCTTTCCCTCCCTGGCAACCTTACTCAGGGGTGCTTCATCTCTTCCATCCACACTCTGGTTTCTTGCATGGATTTTATCTGGTCCCTTGTGAGGGGTTCAGGACTATCCACAAATGTAACATCCCTGTTGTCTCACACTGTTTCTCATCCATGTCTGTGTATCAATGTTAGTGGAGAATATTCTGTAGTTGGTCTAACTGGCATGAATCCTCACTTTCCTCCCTAAAATATCTGAATTTTTATATTGTTGTTTGACATGAGTCTGTTCATTTCAACCATTGCAGCCCTGTCATTTACCTCTCATTTTTCCCTTTTTTTCATTCTATGCATCTCCATCGCCCTCCTCATACCACTCAATTGTGGGCTAGAATCTAAATTATGTTCTCCATGCCCTTTCTCTTCCTCCATTCAAACTGCTAGCTTCATGTTCCTTATATCACCTTTCCTTGAAGATGTATTTCTTTCTCCTTTTAGCTTGTGGATGTTGCAAATTGGACTTGTTTGCCATGGTCATTCACCACATTTTGTATCACAAAGCCTATGTTCTTGTATATTCCGACAATTCCTTCCTTCCCAAAACATTAGCTGCCTGCAAAGGTGATTTTGCCTTCAACCCTAATTTTCTTCCTTCCATGTCCCATATTTACTCCTGCTTTAATCCAGATCATTTCCTGTGTCTGGTCTGTGCTTTATGTTGTTACATGTCACACTCAGCAACCTTCATTCCCTTTCTCCTGAATCGTATCCATTGTTCTGTGTTTTATCCCATCAGATCTGACCCCTGTTGTCCTTGGCTGATCATCTCCATTATCCTTGGGAGGAGATTATTCAGGCTGGCATGTGGACCACTCCCCACACCTTTATGTCATGCTACTTGCAACATCTGGTGGTTTTCTGCTCAGGTGGATATCATATTCCCCTTGTAGCCATTCTCCATACGTTGATACAACTCTGACTGGGTAAGTTATTTTTGTTTCATTGCTTTTCAGGGGCCTGCTTTATATGTTATGGATCCTGCTCTGTTGTGAGTGGTGCCTGTCCAAGTATACTGATTTCCAAAATCTGCATCGTGAGATCTATAAGATCTTTCACTTTCACTTTTGAGATGGAGGTGTTCCACAAGACTGCTTGCA